ATTTCACAATATTATGAAAGTTGGATATCGAAAAGGAATACCAGTTCAAACATGGTTTAGTTCCTTTTAGGTTCCTACTATTACGATTCGCACACTACGATTGAAATCGTGGTTTTAATCGTGGAGTAATCGTGGCGATCCTATCAGGTCTTATCATATATGGAGGTCATTCGTAGCAATCGTGTTGATCGTATCGAATCGTATCCGAACGTGAGAGAGAAAGAGAAATGGGGTTTAACGTCCACTAGGTCATTTCCTGGGTCTTTAGCAGTGGGAGGAAACCGGGGGGCCCGGAGAAAACCCACGAGGTTTCATCCGAACGTATCAGCACGTACTAGATCGTGGACTCACAAGATTCTGATTCTTCTGAGGGCGATATAAACGCGACATGGTCAAAGCTAATCAGAGCCACCGGTAAGTTTTTGATTTAATCTAAGCCGGAAGATTATCTACCTTTGATATTTGATTTCGTTCTTATAAACATACATTATATGCAAAAGCTAAATCTGCCTATTGCAGGTCTTTCTTTAGGCCTGAAATGTTATCTAAATTATTAATTAGACATTAATTAATTTATCCAGACCATAATCAAGTCTTGATGGCATCAGATTTCTCCAATATTAAATAGATTAGAACAGTTCGGCCATATTTTGATTTAATCTAAAAATGGAGGAGGGAGACTTCGCTTCGAACAACCAGTACCATGGTTGAAATTATTTCACAAGTCTTGTCAAACATCTTCGCTCGCAATACAGGAATTTGAATGAAATTTTCAAATTATTCATTTTTCATTATCTATTTTCGAACTATTATAGCAAGAATGGCAAGCTCTTTATCTAAATCTTACGTAATGTATCTTTGTTAAGCCCCGCGCATATAAAATTTTCACCCGGTTTCTCTTGCGGCTGGTCTGCTAGCTACCAAAACCTACGACACGTACGGTGGGTTATGATAGACTTTGACTAATCAATTTGAGTACAATTTATCGTGGATAAAGCCCTGAAAAAAATTAAACAACATTTTCCGAAAACTGTAAATGACGATCCGCGGCTTTCATTTAGTACGATAATGAAATCTACACGGTCAAGCCCCCGTCAGACCTGGATGGCGTCCTTACTGCGCTGCTGCGACCGGACGGCGACCAGAAAATGCACAAGGTCGCCGGCAAACGTGAACACAACGCGAGAAAATGTCCCCAAAAATTACAAACTTGAAAAACGTCGCCTTCTCACAGCTTTCCAGGTCAGATCGCAGCTCAAAACAAGCGCCTTGACTCGGCGATCATTGGCGACCACGAAGACCACAGCACGATATCTGGCGTTTCCATCACGCTTTTACCACGCTAATGACGATCTTGACGCGCTCTGAGACCATTTTCCGTCGCCGTAGCAGCGCAGTAAGGACGCCACTCCGGTCTTACGGGGGTATCACATCAATGCCGTTAACCAGTAGTATGCCCAGGGACAACTCCGTAATTGTATGCCCCTAAGCAGGGAGCACGCTGTCGGTCTTCAAAGTCGCAGATTGCGATTTAAATATGAAATTGGCGATTAAAATTCGATTTTGGCGATAACGTTTTGCGGTACTGTCGATTCTTTTTTAAATTCCTAATCACTACCTCCTAGATTATGCCCCATCAAACCGGGGTGGCGTCCTTACTGCGCTGCTGCGACCGTACGGCGACCAGAAAATGCACAAGGTCGCCGGCAAACGTGAACACAACGCGCGAAAATGTCCCAAAAAATTACAAAACTTGAAACAAGTCGTATTCTCATAGCTTTCCAATTCAAATCGCAAAACCTTGGCGTTTGTTTTGAACATGCTTAAAACAAACGCCGTGACTCGGCGATCATTGGAGGTCGGGTGTTCGATCCCTGCATTGGCCGAGAAAGTTCATCCAGATTTTCCGGCGTGGTTCTCCCTTGTCAGTGATGCAGGACGGAGGGGCTGACAAGGAAAGCTGTCTAGTCGTTCGGATGGGACGAAAAACCGAGGTCCCGTGTACACATTGGCGTGCACGTAAAAGATCCCTTGGCAGTTGGAATTCGATATAAGAGTAGGCCGTAGTGCCGCTGTCCGGGCAAAATTTCCCTCATAGCACACTGTATGGCGTATGCCCGTCTTCATTAGCCCAGGATAGGAGCACAACAGTAGGACGTTAAACCCCATTTCATTTCATTTCATTTCATTTCGGCGATCATTGGCGACCATGGTGACCACATCACGATAGCTGTCGTTTCCACCACGCTTATGGCGATCTAAACAATTTTCCGTCGCCGTGGCAGCGAAATAAGGACGCCACCCCGGTCTGGCGGGGGTATTTAACCATTACATTGAGTGTCGATCACCTGTCGGAATACTATAAATTAATCGACTCGCTGATAATCAGTGATAATCGTGTTAATGAGTAATACTAACCGATTGTCTTGGGTTAATGATCAGTTGTTTGGTAATTGCCAATGATATATATATATATATATAAAACCTATCTCAAATCATTATTTATTCCGAATAATTAATCCAAGCAGTGTTTATTTGATGTTACGTATTCTCTTATATAAAAATTATATAATAATCAAAATGGCCCAAGACTCGGGTATAGGGCCTAGTACACATCAATGTTAGAAAGGAAAGCATCTTAAATATGTAAAACCAGATGATATAAACTATTTAAACATATATTATGCAAGAGCTAAATCTGCCTATTGCAGGTCTTTCTTTAGGCCTGAAATGTTTTCTAAATTATTAATTAGACATTAAATAACTTATCCAGGTCATAATCAACTCTCGATGGCATCGGATTTCTCCGATATTAAATAGATTAGAACAGTTCAGCCATATTTTGATTTAAGCTAAAAAATGGAGGAGCGAGACTTAGCTTCGAACAACCAGTACGGTGGTTGAAATTATTGCACACGTCTTGTCAAAACTTCAAAGGCTAATATCTTCGCTCGCAATAGAGAAATTTGAATGAAATTTTCAAATTATTCATTTTACATTATCTTTTTTCGAACTATAATAGCAAGAATGGCTAGCTCTTTATCTAAATCTTACATAATGTGTCTTTAATCAAATTAAACAATAAATCCGCAACATTAATTAAGTCCGGTGTCCCAATTGAGATCTTCTGAAAGACAATATCGAACTACTTCAATAGTTATATTTTCTCGACCCTGGTCTCGTTTATTAAAAGACTGGTACACATTCACACCAACCTGTGGGGCGAAGTAAATAGTGGTAATTTTAAAATTTAAATATAATAATTTTAATTTAACTCTTTTAATGCTTTTAACGGATACCCGTGCCCCCCCCCCCTCTCTCTCTCTCTCTCTCTCTCTCTCTCTCTACAAGTCACTGCAGAAAATCAAATACAAATCAACGTTACATGTGGAATCCCTGCACCATGGATTACAAATCGCAATTTCACCCTCTCTATAAAAATCTAAAAATAAAATATTGTATCTATGCTCACTCCCAATCCAACATACTAAACTTTCTATAAAATCGTATAGCTAGAAAACAAATGTTTACCTTTTCATTTTGGTATCAATTTCACCCCCGGTATATTCGATCGTTAAGCCAGGTTTTATATATAAGAGATAATTTGTTTGTCAATGAAGTATTTGAAAGCTGTTTAGTCGCTCGGATGGGGCGAAAATCCGAGTTCCCGTGTACACAATGACGTACACGTAAACGAACCCTTGACAGTTCGAATTCGATATATCGTAGAACGTAGCGTCGCGGTCCGGGCAAAAGACCCCTTGGCATTTGAATTCGATATAAGAGTAGCCCGTAGCGCCGCTGTCCGGGAAAAATTTCCCTCATAGCACACTGCATGGCATACGCCCTTCGTCATTACCCCGAACAGTAGGGCGTCAAACCCCATTTCATTTCATTTTGTATTTGAAAGGCGTAGAATCAAATGGTGTTTAATATTTAATATCCTTCATTTTTAACACCAATATTTGTTTTTAGTGACGGTTGTGATTACTCGTCCCACCTTTGACATTCTTGTTGTTCATGCCTCGGTACTATTATATATAAATGTCCTACACAGTTGCGTTATCATAATGTTGTCTATTATATATAATTATATCAAACAATCGTTATTGTTACTGTACATGTACCTGTTTGATAACATAGAAATAATTCACATAGACACGTCGATCAAATTAGTAATTGTTCTTCCATAAGTGTGTGTCGCTTTATTGGGGGGTTGGATGGCCGAATGGTTAGCATGTGCGTGCTGAATCACAAGGCCTGTCATTGAGTCAACTGGTGTGGTTTCGAATCCCCGGCTTGTACGTGACAAGGAGTAGGGTCGCCTGTCCAGCCTCGTGGGTTTTCTCCGGGTCCTCCGGTTTCCTCTCACTGCTAAAGACTCCTACGCGCAAGCGAATTATAGAAATAGAATTGAACCATGTGTTAGTCCCAAAATGACCTAGTTTGTGTCGAGTGGACGTCAACCCCCCCCCCTCTCTCTCTTTCTCTCTCTCTTATAGCTTTATTATTATGATTCCTCGAGTTTTTCCGACGTTGTTTCCCCTTGTCAGTGATGTAGAACGGAGAGCCTGGCAAGAACAGCTGTCTAGGTCGTTCGGATTGAATGAAAAACTAGGACCCCGTGTACACATTGGCGTGCACGTAAAAGACCCCTTGGCAGTTGGAATTCGATATAAGCGTAGGCCATAGTGCCGCTGTCCGGCCAAAATTTCCCTCATAGCACACTTTATGGCGTCTGCCCGTCTTCATTGGCCCAGCCGGAGCAGAACAGTCGGACGTTAAGCCCCATTTGATGTAACAAGGACAGTGAATATAAAAGAAATAAATAAAGACCTTCCATATAGTAGTTTTAGACCACAGGCGAAATTGCAATTTGTAACCATTGACGAACAGAGAGCACATATCAAAACAGCCAATGTATTGGACTAGAACAAAAAGGAACGGATGAATAAAGTGAACAAAGCCCTGGTTTAAACTATAAAAGAGTTCGAACTCACCTTAACCGGCACACAGATAAGAACAAGCAGGAGATCAGCTGAAGCCAAACTCAATAAAAACGTGTTAGTGATATTTTTCATACGTCGATATCTGGCTATAGAGAAAATCACCAGTGTATTACCTATAATTCCTATGATTAAAGTTAGTCCGTAAACTATGGCACCAGGTATAATTTCTTGTAGGGCGATACTCGACACGGAGTCGGAGTAGTCGTAGTAATAATCATCGGTTACGTTACTAGTACTACTACTGCTACTGCTAGAATTGTTAAAGTTAAAATCAGAAAAGTTTTGACTTTGAGCACAATTGTCGAGACAACCTGTTCCCGGCGACATGACAGATCAATTGAAAGCTCCTAGCAATAATTGTTCTTCTCTATTCTCTCTCTCGATCTCAATCATACACTGACGCGAAAGTGAAAGATAGAGGGAATGGAAACCCGCCCACTTTGTCGTGATATGGCTTGTACGAGATCTGACAAATGATACAGGTTTATAAAACATGCCGTTTGGTTTGTTTAACACTCCCTCTCTAGTCTATTATTTGCCGTCGTAAATGTGATTTACAGTTGGTGGAGAAGCGATGATGCACCGACGGAGTAGAAGGATTATACAACAATCTCTGACGTTATTGATCCTAGCTAACCATGAGGCCGAGAAAGTTCCTAGGGATATCCCAGGGTGATGACAGGTTTAGAAAAGAACTAGAAAGAAATACTATATGGTTAAAATATTTTAATTTCAACAAAACTGTGTTATCATAGATCTAATATCTTAAAATTTCGAAATTCAGGTCCAAATTTTTGCCCCATTAGAGCACTCGATACGGTTTTTTTTATTTGAAGAGCGAAAAGACCCTAAAGTTCCTAGGGATATCCCAGGGTGATGACAGGTTTAGAAAAGAACTAGAAAGAAATACTATATGGTTAAAATATTTAATTTCAACAAAACTGTGTTATCATAGATCTAATATCTTAAAATTTCGAAATTCAGGTCCAAATTTTTGCCCCATTAGAGCACTCGATACGTTTTTTTTATTTGAAGAGCGAAAATACCCTAGTTAACAGGGGTGGTCAAACATCGCTCCGTAATGCTGGGTTCCCGCTATTACAGTTCGTGGTACGATAGAAATCGTGGTTTTAATCGTGGAGTAATTCTGGTGATCATAGAAGGCCTTATCATATATTGAGGTCAGTCGTAACAATCGTATTGATCGTATCGAAACGTACACCAACATGATCTGCACTTACCAGATCGTGGACCCAATAGGAACAATCCTATAGTAACGCATCGCACGACAGTCGGATCCTGGCATTAGGGAACTCGTTACCACTTCTGATTTGAGAAGTTAACAGAAATTAATTGAGAGAAAGTCAAAATATCTGAAACATAGCTCAGAACACCTGATACCACTTCGCATTTGGGAAGCTAAAAGACCTTGTCAAGTAGCGAAAGTCAAACTAGCTGAAGTATGCGGGGGATCACGTGGCTAAGTGGGTAAGACGCTGGCTCGCTAGCCTGGGGGTCGGGTGTTCGATCCCTGCATTGGCCGAGAAAGTTCATCCCTTGTCAGTGATACAGGACGGGGGGCCTGACAAGGACAGCTCTTTAGTCGTTCGGATGGGACGAAAAACCGAGGTCCTCTGTACACATTGGCTTGCACGTAAAAGATCCCCTGGCAGTTGGAATTCGATATAAGAGTAGGCCGTAGCGCCGCTGCCCGGGCAAAATTTCCCTCATAGCACACTGTATGGCGTATGTCCGTCTTCATTAGTCCAGGTAAGGAGCAGAACAGTAGGACGTTAAACCCCATTTCATTTCATTTCATGACTGAAATATGGCTTTAGATCAAGCAAGACTGGTACATGCGAGCCTAAATCTACTTAATGTCCTAGACGTCTAACATGATTTATTTGAGATAATTGAGTTCCAGAATTATTAGATATATTTGCGTTCTAGACAGATGCACAACTTTTCTGTACTCGACACCTGTCCCCAATAATTCCCTGAATTTAATTTCCTGGAATCAGAGCTACAGCTTCTGTCTGTCCTAGGGTGGCATCAAATTTTGCACCTGTCTCCCCGAGTATCATCACTATAGACAATGCCCGGACCAATCCTCGCGCAGTTCTTATGACTCTTCGACGCCATTTATTTTATATACCTTAAAGCGATAATTGCATATTTTCTAAGAACTTCAAAACATTATATTTGTTTATTTATATCAAATCACTACTATACTATCATAGGTATCATTCTAGCTCTTAAAAACATTCACATATAAAATTTGAAATAATTTTTTCTACTCGCCAATAATATTTGGAAATTGTCTCGTTTCTTTTTACTGAAAAACTAAGTCTACACAATGGAAGGGGGAGGGGTGTCTCTATTGTCAAGGTCCGTGGTTAAACAGATAAAGATAATGATGCCTGGTTGACCGAGACTTTTCAAACATCACACTTGATAATAACACCTGAAAAAGCAACGTTTGATTTTAAAAGAGGGAGAAGGGAGAAATTGGGTTTACCGTCCACTCGACACAAACAAGGTCATTTCGGGACTAACATATGGTTTAATTTTATTTACATAATTCGCTTGCGCGTAGGGGTCTTTAGCAGTGGGAGGAAACCGGAGGACCCGGAGAAAACCCACGAGGTTGGACAGGCGACCCTACTCCTTGCCACGTACAGCCGGGGATTCGAAACCACGCCAGTCGACTCAATGACAGACTTTATGACACAGCGCGCGCACGCTAACAATTCAGCCATCCAACCCCCCTGATTTTAAAAGAAAATGATATATTTACCAAATTCTCAATATACACAAGTGAATTAGAGAATTTAGGATTATTCTTTAACAAAGTAAGACTGTGTGTATTATAGATGCCATGTATTTTAAGGCTTTGTGTTACTAGAATGAGTATTTTTCGGCTCAGAGTAAAGTAATTCGACTGAAATTTTCAGCAAATTCCCGTTACATTATCTTTTTTTTTAAAAAAAAAACTATTATAGCGAGAACTGTCAGCTCTTTATCTAATCTTCCATAATGTCGTTTTAAATAAATTTTACTGAACAAAGGAAATGATAAGTTATGTCGTCAAAATTCTGGCTTTTTGGTAATTTTTTTTTTAAAATGTAAACATAATAATATACTGTTTCTGTTTAAACGACTAATTATTATAGCTAAATAATGGATGTTGGGGAAGTCGGGGGGTGGGGGACCTCAGACATCTGTGAGGTGCCAACGAAATAATGAGCGTTGCATATATATGTAGACTATTTAATCCGTTTCTAATGGGCCAGATTATAGCCCAGACATGACTACAGTTTAAATCGACGACAGGAATTATCGATTTAAAAGCTGGTGGCTTAAGGTTACTGCACAATGTTTGTTTCCCCTTGTCAGTTGTACAGGACAGGGGGCCTGACAGGGACAGCTGTCTAATCGTTCGGATGGGACGAAAAACCGAGGTCCCATGTAGACATTGGCGTGCACGTAAACGATCCCTTGGTAGTTGGAAATCGATATTTACCTCATAGCACACTGTGTGGCGTATGCCCGTCTTCAGAATCCCAGTCGGAGCAGAACAGTAGGACGTTAAATCCCATTTCATTTCATTTCATTTTCATGACGCCGCCCTTAATCAAAGTTAATCTAATTCCCGATCAAAGTGCACATTTCGTTTCTATGTAGAATTAAAATACTTAAAGTCTATGTGTGCCATTGGAATTTCCTGAGAAAAAAGAAAAAAAAATTGCGACGGCTCAATCCGTGCTAAAATCTACTCATATTTATTATTTAATGTTTAATGCATATTAGAAATAACAAGAACAGGATGGGTAGCGGTTAGTGTGACCAGTTCCTTATTATCGTATTTACATGGTATATTATTATAAAGAGAGGGAGAGAGAAATGGGGTTAAACGTCCACTCGAAACAAACTAGGTCATTTCGTTCAATTTTATTTCCATAATTCGCTTGCGCGTAGGGGTCTTTACCAGTGGGAGGAAACCGGAGGACCCGGAGAAAACCCACGAGGTTGGACAGGCGACCTTACTCCTTGTCACGTACAACAGGGAAATCGAAACCACGCCAGTTGACTTAATGACAGACTTTATGATACAGCGCGCACGTGCTAAGCATTCAGCTATCCAACCCCCATATTATTATAAGGGTATGGTTTCTGTTGCCTTGAAATATAACCCATATATATAATTTGGCTTGTATTTGACAGTAGCTGTATTTACAGTGCGATTTTATATCCCAGTGGGCTAACTCAAGTGAAACGTTTACCTACACGCGACCGTTAAGTTAATAATTGATACCCAATTCACCCACACCTCACAGTGATTTACAACAGAGGAGTGTGTTGACAGACGGTTCTAGTACGTCATAGATTTAACATCCACTCGGCACAAACTAGGCTACTTCGGGCCGAACATATGTTGCAGTTATATTGCAATGATAGCGTACGCTTTAGACCTCTCCACCACGCAACCCCCGTCCTTAACAGAGTTATCCCTTTGCAATGAACCATCGGATCTCAATCACTCCGCCAGGAACTTTTTGTTTGTTCTCAACGATCATACGAAGGACGGCATATGGAACTTTTTTTATTGGCGTATAATTGGACTTTATCGCTTCAGTGCCTTAGATATTTGTAGTAGTAAATAAAATCATTATGAAAGTCGCTACGCGTTTTCGTAAAAGCCGTCCTGGGGGTCAAACTTGCAGTGGAAATTACCTAGACACTTCCCGGTGTTAGTGATTTGGAAGGACCGGGGCTTTAACGCCCACTCAACACAAACTAGGTCATTTCTTCGTAATATTTACCCGCCCCCTCCACCAGCATAACCATTTATGTTGACTCTTTGATCTAGAAATGAAGAGGTGTGTCTGAAATTTCATTTTCTTTCGGGTCGCGATGAATATTCATGATTTTGGGGCGGAAAGATCAGGAAGTAAACACACAAGAATTAGTGTGATCGCCTAGAACAATAACGTCATTGCCTATGGGTTCCTTTGACCAGGCCTAGCATAAAATCAAAATGTTCAACCCCTTTCAATATGTTCATCAGATGATTGTGACATATTTGGCTCATTGTGATTATAAAGATTAAATCATCGGAATCTTAAAAAAGATGTTAAAAGTCAAGAAATGTCGCGGATTTAACATTGAATTCAATGGAGAGAGAATTACTGGTCTGACTCCACATGTAAGGCCCATGGTTAATAACATTGAAGTCAATGGCGAGAGAATTACTCGGCTGATTCCACTTGTAAGGTCCCATGGTTACCACAGCAATTATACCTGTGTGAGAAAAAAAAATGCGTGACAGTCACCGATAAAGATATCTGATTATACTACTAT